ATATATTTGACGATCAATAAGTAAAGTGTACTCACCGGCTGTGCAATAGAATTTCTGGTCATCCTTCTCAGAGCCATTGTGGCAGTCACCATGTTCATATTACCTCCAGGCCTGTACGGATACATTAACAGAAAAAAACGTTCTTTATATGCATTATAAACTAAATAATTAATCATTTTAAATTTCAAGATTCTACGGAGCGCGTGATTAAATCAAAGAAAGGCGCGGCGCAGAGCGGCAAATCGAAACAACTCGATATCAAAACAGCTGGCCAATTTAGGGAAAACCTCTCTTAACCACGTTTAGTACTGGTTTTAGCTTTTGTCCTCTTTGTTTTGTTTTTGGAGTGGTTTTAACAATATTTCTTTAATTGTATTTACTTTTTTAAAAATAGATCTTTATCAAAGTTGTGAGCGAAGTCTCCTCATCTGGGCCAACTGAGTGTCTTTATTGCCCGCAGTATCTGTCCGGAGACGTCTCCGACGGAGATAGACCAATCAAAATGCTTTGTGCCTCTAGACTCTAGACCAAGGAAAATAAATATGAGGGGTTACAGGGGTGCATGCCCCCCCCCCCCTGTTTTAACCCAAAATTTGATATTTTGCGTTAGGTTTGACACTTTTTTGGGGAAAATAATTGATTTGCGACAGTTTTAATGGCTATAATATGTGTGATCTGCAGCAAACAATATGCAGTTTGAACACCCAAAGCAGTGCATCTGTGTGCGGGAGTGCGTCTCCGAATAGTTTGTGGATGCTCGCCCGAGACGTCTCTGAATATGTTCTGCCGTCTTTGCCACGTGTTTGCTGTTCGTGTACTGATTTGCTTGACATTTCTTAGATTAGTACGGTAGACCCTAAATGTGAGGCAGCCGGGTGGAATCAGGCTCTCGTCAATTTTTGAGCATGTAGCGTTATTGGTATCTTCTTAAAGCTTGTTTACTTGTCTTTATTTGGAAGAAAAAAATATCCATTTATTTTAACTACAAGTCGAGATATTTGAGAATGAAGGAGGTTGGGGTCACCTGTTTTCAGAGGTAAAATTAGTGAGAAAATGGCCGCCAAAGATGAGTTATTTCCTCAGGTTTAGAGTCCGTGGTAACTGAAAATTTACATTTTTTGTGCCTTAAATCTACGTTTTTCTGAAAAATCCACACAGAAATGAGCTCCTTAATGGGCTTGAAAGGTGTTGAGCCCAAAAACAAAAATTTGATAAAAATTCACAAACCTTCGGAAAAATGCAAGTTTCTTCACTTTGATTATTTTGACGAGAGCCTGATTCCACCACGCTGCCTCACAAATGTTTTCCTTTAAAAAAAAATGATTCAGGAAGCGTGCTGCCTCGAAAGTGTTTGAAAAGGCGAACCCAAGTTGAGCGAAATACATCACAGAAGTACTCAATATTTAAAACAAACCTTTCTACTCGGGAATCGAACTCATGTCTTTTACGTATAACTTCCAGAAATACTAATCGACACAGATAATGACCCAAAGAACGGTTTCGGTAAATTGGCCAGCTGTTTTTAGGGTGGGG